AGGCAAGGCACCCAGGACTGCACTGCTAACATTTGATGGAAAATTTAAAGGGCAAGGGAGTTCTAATGATACCTATTTTTGCTTTACTGATTATACAAAGACTGTTGGCTGTATAACACAATGATGTGTGGATAGTTCTTTGAAACATGAAGAATGTGTATGTTGAACAGGCAGCAAAACCTAGAATAGAATATGGAGCAACTCAATAGCTCAGAATAGGAAAAGGAGAATGCAGAGATGGCTATTGGCACCTTATTTAACTTACATGCAGAATATATAATGAGAAATGCTGACTTAAAAGACATAAAATGGAATTAAAATTCCTGGAAGAAATATTAACAACCTTATATATGTTGATGATGCCACTTTGAGAGTTGTAAATGAGGAATTTCTTCTTGAAGGTAAAAGCAAAGAATGCAAAACTTGGTCTGCTGTTAATGAGAGAAATCTACACAAACTTCAACAAGCAACAAACAATGCAATCCAATGCAAATAGGTGGGGAAGAGATAGTAATGGATTTTATTTTCCTAGAGTGAACGATTCTTATCTTTCTCTGTCTATCCATCCTACTTGGCGAAAATGGGAGATTCAGAGTTTCTGCTTGGCGCATTGCCAATACAGGACAGTCACTGCTTCCTGAGTAATGTTCTTCTCCTTCTACTCCCAGCCAATTGTAAATACACCCTGAGCCATTTAGTCCTGGGCTGCCAGACTACTGTGTTCTCTGTTGGTTGGTTGTTCCTCTTTCTTTTATAATCTTGCAGTTGATACAACAATGGTCCATTAAATCAATGAACTATCTAGAAGCTATGTTCCATTCACCTCTTACTTCTCACTGTGGACATACTTTTGATTTCTGCCCAGGCTGGATGAAGCATCCTCACCTTGCTTTTCCATTCCTGGTACATAGTACTGCAAAGCTTCCTTCCCTTAATTTTTTAAAAACATTTTTAACTTGCAATGTTGCTACTTAGTTTCTATGAAAACAACCCACCAGTTCTTCCTTGTCACAAAGTTTCCATGGACCTACAGAGGAATGAAGGAATGAAAAGAACAACCTGTTCTCTATCACTTTGTTCATTGGAGCTAGGATGGTACCATAGGGAGAAAAAAGAAAAGGTCTATGTTAGTGTCAAAGGAGATAATGTGGGAAGACGGGGCAGGGGGAGTGAAAGCTTCCATCTGTGCAAACATCTTGGTAAGCAAAGAAAAGGCGTGGGAACTAGTGAGGAGGGAACAATCTCTAAAAGAAAAAGGCAAGCACTGGTAGATTGGTCTGACCAGGAGCCAGTCAATGAGGCTTGCCTTTCCTGCATAGATGGGGAGGGCAAGAAGCAGTAATATGACTAATCAGGTCTTGCAGTCACCATAGTCTGAACTAAGCACCAGCCCAGCCTTTTTGCCAACCTACTGCAATCCAGATAAGAATTTATGAAGTCGTCTTAAGAAATTTCTGAAGTTGGCTTAAGAAACAGCCAGGCATAGCATGGGAGAAAAATACCTTAGGCAGCAGTATGTAATTGTCCTATGACTGATCTATACAAATAGTAAAGTGCAGATTGAGATATCACACTAAAAACAAAAATACATATTGTTAAAGCCATGGTTTTTCCTATTGTAACATACTGTATGGTGGCAAAACCTGGACCATAAAAAGGCTATCAAAGAAAAAAAATGCCTTTAATTTGTGGTGCTAGAGAAAATTATTGAGAGTATCTTAGACCGCAAGAAAAACAAACGATTCTATACTAGAAGTAAAACTAAATGGCTCACTGGAAGCACATAAAGTTAAAACTTAATTTTTGGGTAAATAATATATTTTTGGCATAATATCAAGGCAATCATCATTGGAGAAGACACTGATATTTGGAAAAATCTAACACAATCAAAAAAAGAGGATGACAGAAGACAAAGTGGCTAGATATTATCACTGATACACAAGCAGGAGTTCACAAGAGCTCAAAGAAGCCATTACTGAAAGACAATTCTAATGAAATACTGCCCATTGGGTCATGAGTCAAGAATGAATGAATAACTAAACACCTGCAACGTTAGTTTTTTAAAACAAAAAATGAAATAGAGGTGTTTCTGTATGACTTTTGGGGAGATGATTGAAAGGAAAAGAAATCTGCCACTGAAAATGAGAATTTGTTAACAGGGAAGGAAAATGAGATGAGTTGGCACAAAGCCAACCCAATGTGTACATCAGGTACGAGAGCATTCGGAAGGAGTAGGATATGAGTCAAGTGACTTCTAGCTGGATCTTAAAAGTTCTGGGATTACTATACTAATAACAGAGTATTAAAATATACATTGGACTGTGGAATAGGTTGAAAGGTATAGATTTCAAGATACGGTTAATGAGTGGGCAGACTCAAAGGATAAACATTGTGAAGGATGAAAAGAAGCATTTCTCTGGATTCCTGGCTCCCTGTTAGAATAAAAGCTAAGTGACTAGACTAACATTTCTGACAGAAATTAAGGCTACAAAAATCTGAATGAATACTAGTTGGCAGTAAAGAGTATTTTCAATACATAACCACTCTCTAGTACTCTTTTGGATTTTTGCAGCCCAATCCAATAGCCTTAACAGAGATGCTCAGAACCAACCATTTCCACAAGGAATGTTTGGGTTTTAACCTACTGCTTGAGAGGAGGACAATTCAGGCTGAACCATGCTGATTACCAAGATCAGTTTGAAGGTATTCTTATGGATTGTTTGATTAACGTGCTGAGGTTATAGTTAGGAAGGCATTTATATTCAGCTTTGCATACAAAACTTTTGATTAATTTACAGAAATCAGTGGATATTGTTTATAATAAATGGAGGCAGCCTAGCAACTATAATGATCCTCTTACTCCTAAATGCAATGATTCTTGCCTTTGCAGCCTTACCTAATATTAAATAACAAATAAAAGAACACAGTAGAAGAGTAAGTCTAACAAAGACACACGTACAAAAAGCTAACAGAACTGAACTTCTCTGTAATAAGGAACACAAGGTTTTAATCGTTTTGTTAACAATCCCTTATTTCAAGAAATAACTCTTTGAAAAGGAATTTTGCAACCGGACTCATCATGTTAAGCCACAATGTAGTTAGTTTGATTTGGATTTAGCATGATGATCTATGATTCCAAGGATTGTGACTTGTAAATCATGGTTCATGGTTTAACATGTCCTGAAATAAGGAATGGGGGAAAAACCTGTAGCCCTGAAGAGCAAATAACTTCCCAATATGTATTAATGAGTATGGTCATCTACAAACATTTTGTTGGCTAAGTTGAAGCAGTTTGCCTCCCCCCTCAATCAAGATGTATAATATTTGAGTCAATCGTATTATTTTGGCATCCAAGCAGAAAGAAATACAAACAGCTCTCCATTTCCTGGCAATGTTCTGCTTTATTTTATTTTTATATATTTTAAAATATTATTTTATATAAATAAACTGGCTACTGGTTTATTCTGGCAG